CAATGACCGCAGCCAATTCCCTCAGCACTTGGGGGTGGAGATCGTCCGGACCAGGTGATTTGAATACATCCAGTCCCTCCACAAGTTTCCTGACTAGTTCCTCCCTGACCGTTGGCCTAGGTGCACCTCCCCTGGGGCCTGAGGGGGCCCCGGTGGCGGGGCTGATCTGGTCCCTGCTCAGGAAAACAAAGGTAAAGAAATTGTTAAACAGGTTAGCTTTATCATCTGGTGTGACAACCAAATTTCCAAGCGTATCTTGTAGGGGCCCCACATTACCCAGTACCTTCTTTTTGCCCCCTACGTATTTAAAAAAGGACTTCTTGCTGTCCTTGAACAAATGACAAATGCAGGCAGCCCCAGCAGTCACATGCACAGAGCAGCTCTGCACCTTACTACAGGGTCAGGACCTCAGGTGCCAAATTTGGGTGCCCATGTGCCCTGACCTCCAGAGTGACTGAGTGCCCCCAAACTCCCACCTGCTGGCGGCTCAGCCCCCCCTGGAAGAATCAGGCTGCTGGCTGCAGCTGCTGAACAGATTGGACGCCAACATCCATCCACCCCCAAGGCTACACAGTCAGCAGACAATCTGGGAACATGACAGGAGCTCCCAAACCCTGAAGCTTCCGCTGCTTTGCTCCGGCCTCTCTGGAGGAATATTAAAAGCATAACATAGTCGTCAACACCCAACAAGAATCACCTGCTGTGCCACCAACCCTGCGAGTGACCGCAGCAAGCCTGGAGACCAATGCAAGTGCCATAGCATCCGTTTCCAATATTTTAATGAGTCGCTACATCTTACACTCAATTATAAAAGAATAAGAATCCATAAAAATATTTTCTTTTCATAATACGCACTTAAAATACTCGGGGGCAAGTTGATGTGGTTCATTTGGGTGGGTTGCTCTTGTTCATTTTTGCCCCTGACAAACCCTTGGCTTTGGGGGCAGAAGGGCAGGTGCTCCCCTGAGGTGCAAGTGTCTACGCCCCCCCCCCCACCCCCAAACTGCAGTTCATGGTGACTAGGTAAATAAAAACCAGAAGAGAGAGAGTGTTTGCCAAGTAGATGGGCGAGGAGACCAGTCACTGACCCGCAGAGAACTGAAGCGCAGCCAATTTCAGTGCACGTCCGAAAGCTCAGGGCATTGGGGGAAAGAGGGTGGTGAGGAAGGGTGCACTGGGGGGCAGGACACAGCAAAGAGACGGGCAGAGTGGGGAGGGAAGGAGGGAATATTTGCATAAATATCCATCTCATGTTGCAAAACCCAGATGCTACTGCAGTTTCTGGGAAGGCGAATGCCAGTCGGGGTGTAGCCAGCTGCTACCATGCTACCTGTTGGCACAGTTTGCCCATGAGCAGCAAGTCGGGGTAAGGGGGCTGAGGACACTGTCGCCAACCCAGCTGCTTTCCCCCCTCTGCTCTGCAAAATTAACTTAAAAAAACTAAAAAGAAAAAGGAAAACAAAGGAAAAAAGGAAGCCTCATGTCACATGCTTCTGCGGAGCTGCCCAGGCTCCAGCCTTTGCGCGTTCCAAAGCAACAGCAGCGATCGACTCCCGTGGGACTCAGGGCGGCTGCTCCTCTCCCCCCCTTGACCTCCTGACTTAAGGCAGCATGCCGATTCAGCTCTTCCATTTCCAACGCAGGCTCTGACTTCTCGCAGGTAAGAGCATGGGGCCTGCTGAGGTGCAGTGGAAGAGACAGGAGAGAGAGCGAGCGAGAGATGCACATGCACCTCAGCCTCTGGAGCCAGACCCCTGTCACTGGTTCCCAGCAGAGAGGGAGTAGCAGCAAAACAAAGCATTAACAGCCAGGGCAGAGTCAAGGTGAGCAGCTGAGCAGAGGCAGAGCTCTAGCTTAGGAAGCGTAGGAAGGCAACACTGTCCAGAGGAAACAGAAGCGGTACTCCCCCCGGCCCCTTGGTCAGGGTAGCCCCCCAGCAACTTGTGCTCTGGCTTCAAAGGCGGTCGAGGGAAGGAGGTGGTGGCAGCAGGGGCAGAGGTGAGCTGTCAGTGTCCAGCGGTTTGCAGAGGCCCGTGCTCTCAGAGGTATTCTTGTAGAAAGTGCAGCAGCGTGATTTCATAGTGCTCGCCCGACTCGGGGCACCGAATGCTGTGTCTCTCGTTGGGGTAGATCTACACAGAAGCAAAGAGATGGCCGTTAGCTGGGAATGGCTGTCAGCCCCATAGCTCCTCCCATGGACTTGCCTCTGGCCCCACAGGGCTGAATGCATTTTAGGGGAGCCAATGAGTTCTATGAAATATATCTGCTCTGGCACCCCCTGCACATGTCAACACGTCTGCTAGTCAACACATCCTTTCACAGCATCTGGTGAAGTGACCTTGTGCTCTCTCTACAGATCTTATTTAGTTAATCTATAAGGAGTATATCACCCTGTCTTCTGCTACTCAAATGTCAGAGCAGGCCACCAAATGGCTTGAGGTCACCTGGGCAAGTCAACTGATAGCCATAGAGTGCAAGGGGAGAAGGCAGGCAGCAGCGGCGAAATACTGTGTGGGAAAGACTTGGATACTGTTGCTGTTCTGCAAAGCAGTGGAGCAGCAATCAAGTGCCACCTTCTGGTCACATTTGTGCAGTTGGCTGAAATTAAGCTAGGCTGGAATCACCTCTGCTTCTCCAGACATGGGAGCTCTTATACTACTTCCCTTTGAAGAAAGGAGGAGGAAAAAGGTATTCCACTGCCTCCTGGTGCACAGGGACCATCTGACCTCACTCCAGTTCCTCTTACCTGCAGCTGATAGGGTTTTCCAGCCCGGATTAGCTGTGAGACCAGGAAGTTGGTATGAAAAAAGTGCACGTTTTCATCCAGAAACCCATGGAGGATCAGCAAGCGGTTTGGCCTGGAAATGGGGTGAGAGAGAATGAGTCTGACGGCAAAGCCTGGCCAGAGACCTGAGCAGAGCCACCAGCCAGCACATCAGCACCTAGCTACGTGGGAGGGAAACAGGTCCTCCTCCGCCACCCCAGGGCATGGCATCACTGACCTTGGGCTCACCTTAGCTGAAGCAAGCTGGGTCACAGCACCCTGCCCCTGCCCACCACAGACAGCAGTGTCAAACAGTTTGAATTAGGGCAGAAGATCACCCAAAGTTTCAGCACTCTCCACAACAATGTTCTTAAAGCTTCTGCCAGTGAACTGACTTTCCCCAGCCAGCCGGTTTTATCTAATCTACCCCAGCCTCCCCCTGCTCCTCTTCCCTTGAAGCAGCTGAGCCCAGAAGAAAGGCAAGTGACAGTTAGATGTGCTCTGCTCTAGCCAGGTGCACACAGGGCAATGCCAGCTGATGACCTGCGGATAGAGGTCAGCTTTAGGAGATAAGGACGAGCGCCCAAGGTAAGAGGGATTACTGCAAGATTATCAGAAACAGCAAGCCCTCAGCAGTCAGCAGCAAATACCCCGTTGCATGGTACTTACTCATTGGGGAGTTTTTCTACATGCAGTGCCACAGAGCCGGCTTCGTAACCCTGCTGGTTGTTCTCTGGGACATCCATGTACCGTTCTGTGTACCCGGTGTCATACGCCATCCAGACTGTGACGGGGGCACCTGCTATGGCAATCTGGCAGACAAATACGGCGGGGGGGGCAGAGAGAGGGTTTCAATGACCCAGCGCTATAATACACTGCCCTATCCTTCCTGGGGAGGTCAGAGACCCACAGCTGTAAACACGTGCTTCCTCATTCCAGAGCAGCCCAGCTCCTGCAGCTGAAGCACAGTGCCTCCTGAAGTCAGTGCTGCACCACCCTCTGGTGCTGCCTTAACCAGGAGCTACAGGCATCACTGGTAAAACTCCAGCCTGTTCTACAAACCAGTCTAAGTGAGCACAAGGACCCCTTCTGCTCTGAAGAGCTATTCAGCAATAGCACTTCTTCAGGCCCACAAATCTCAAAGGGCTACACAAGCACTAGACTTTGACCCCCCGCATTATGTCAGGTGCCTTCCAGGTGGAGGGAACGCTGGCCCCCACAGGCACACGCAATCTGAGCAAAGGTTAATTAGGGGATATTTATAGGAATTGCTCTATCTGTCACCAAGGAGCAGCCACCTATGGAGCAGAACACTTGCTGAGGAAGCAAAAGGGACTGCTGAAATCACTGGGGAAATTGAGTTGTGGGAAAACGTAAGGGTCCCAGATGGAACTTGACCAGAGACTGGTTTTATTAGGAAAAGCGCCAGGGAATCTGTTCAGAAAGTTTATTGTCGCCTGAGAAAGCATTGTGCCCTCTAACACTGTGTGGGTTTTACTGGCTCAAAAGCCCTGTAATGCGATTCACAGCAGTGCAGGGGCCAGTGAGGAAGCGTATCCCCTAAAGAAGAAGCCAGTCTCAGTCACACCCACCCATGCAGCTGAAGCCTGGAGGCAGAGGACGGGATGGTGACAGGGCTGCAGCTCTAACCCAGGGAAGGTGCATTTGGCGTGTCCTTTTCCAGGACTGAGGCTGATGACAGCCCATCCCCTGCCAGGGGGCATTCTCCCCAGCCAAAATGCACCAGGTCAACTCTCAGCCAGGAGTCAGGGGCAGGAACGGCTGGGGCACATCTCCCATCCTCCGTGCTCCTTCTTGTACAGAAGCTGTGGTCCAAGGCAGCCACTCTTTCACAGGACAAGCCAGTGCTCTGTAACCAGCAGCCAGAGAACCTGATAGCAACTTCACCTGTATGCTGCTTTCCACTGCTGGCTCAGAACTCAGCTGTTTCTTCCAGATGGTGCTCACAGCCCACTAGCTCAGGGTCCCAGCCCAAATCTGGTCTCAAACAGATGCTAAATGCAAAAGTGCAATGTTGACAACCTGCTTGATTCTAGGCAGCTGTTCCATCAAACCAGCCAATGCCTGAGCCAAGGGGGCAACTTTCACATTTCTCTGTAGCCCAGATCCAAGGGCAGCAAACAGGAAAAGCCAGCTACAGGCATGGAGCACTTGGAGCTTGTCATCCCATAACGTCACTCCTAGACACCAGAGGCACTTGGCATGCCATCCTTCCCCAGCCACACTCACCTTGAACACACTGGGCTTGCAGATAAGGCCCATGAGAGAGAGGAAGCCCCCGTATGACCAGCCGTGGATGGCCACCCGAGTCAAGTCAATGAACCCGTATTTCTCTGCTACATAATGTAAACCTTCGACCTGGTCCTCAATCTCCACCTGGCCCTGGAAGAAGAGCTCAAGTCAGCTTATTTTCTGAGTGACAGGGTGGGAGGCCACTGTAGGAGGAGAGATAATGCAGTAAACAGAGTTACCATTTGGTTTTTAAGGGCCCCTTCAAACTTGAGTCCTCGCTGACAGGAGCCCCTCCCATCGATTACCACCACAGCATAGCCTAGGGATGCTAGCGTGTTGAGCCGCAGGTACTTGATACCTTTGAAGGAATTATTCACTAATTGCACCTAGAGTAGGAGAAAGGACAAATCATGTGAGCAGCCCTCTGAAATCTTCTCCCCATCTTTGCAAGGGGTCAACAGTCACTACTTGGTGTATGAGGCTCTACGCCACCCCTCAGAGTTTATCAAGGCCTCAGCTAGGCTACAGCCACTAGCAAGGAAAGTTATTTGGCTCATAGCAACTGGACTGGGCAGGTGAAATCATCTGCAACTCCCAATTCCAATCAGAGGGCAAATTCCCAGGCAGCTCTGGAGAATTCCCTCACATGGGAGAGAAGCAAGAAAGGAGTTCAAGAAAGAGATGGAAGGTGCTGGGTTGGATTATTACCTGAGGACCTCCATACACGAACAAGACTGTAGGATGCTTCTTTCCCGGCTGGACGTCATGAGGTTTGTACACCATCCCGTAGAGCTCAATGTCTGACTGGGTCCGGAAATGAAAGATTTCTGGAGGCACGTAATCTGGAGGGCAGCCTGTGAAGAGCAGTCCAGACACTAGCTACAGGTTTAAGACAATAGGCTCATCATCCTACCTGAGCCAATGGGCTTAACTTGTATCCTACATGCCTCTTAACCTGGGGTTGAGCCCATCTCCTTTTCCAAGATGTCGGTCACACCCTACCAGAAAGAAGCTTAGGGTCTGTTTCACCAAGAGATACCTGGCCCTGCCCACACATGGCAATGGGTTTCACCAGCCTGCAGAGACCACCAATGACAAATGCCACCAACTGTGCACACAATCCTGTGTGATCCTGGCAGGCAAGTGGAAGGAAGAAGCCTTCCCAGCAGGATGCAGCAGCTGCTGGGAACCAAAAATACTCCTTCAAAGTCTGCAAAATCACGGCTACACGAAGTGGCAGAAGCTACGCACATTCCTTGAGTGCAAGAGGCGTTAAATCCCCATCCATCTGCCTTTCCCTAGACCACCTCTGCGAAGTAACATCTACTAAACCATGAATGCACAGTTAATCTGGCATCCTCATACAATTTCTCTTGCTCAGAGAGCAAGGAACTAGCATAAGAAGTGCATTAGGTCCCCCTGGGCCCCAGCAATACCACACCCCTTCCTGTACAGAGATATCCAGTAAAGAGATCTACTCCCGGAGGCAAACAGTGGGTAGAAAGATTCACTTCCCAGCCAATGCCTGGCTCCCTTCCACCTCTCCAGTTTGCATCAGCACTGCCCTCCTGCCTAGATAGAGCATTAGGGGGGTGGGGGGGGGAGGAGTGAAGGGAGACGTACTGGCTGCCTCCATCATGCTGGCCCAGAACTTGGGCTGCTTGTGAAGTGGGTCCTCATCGGGGCCACTCATCTTGTAAACGTGCACGCAGGGCGGGGTGCTGACGCTGCTGTAGTGGCTGATGAACATGTCAAAGTTCTGTGGGAGAGAAGACGATCATTCTCCTGCATTCCTAAGATGAATTACTCAAGCCCCCGCTCCCCACAACAGGACCTCCTTCTGTACCATCATGCTACTCTGTTAGAGCAGGAACTACAGAGCAAGGCATTTGCAAGGAATGCTGGCACTGGCTCATAGTGCCTATGAAGTCTCCCCAGGAAAGCCTGGGCAGGAATCAGTTTGCTCCCGTTACAAACTAAGTCTAGCATGGTTTTCACATGCAGCCCATGTGTTATTGCAGGGGTGAGGCAAACTCACCTGGCTCATTGAGCAGCTGTGAGAGAAGCCTAGAGTGGTGAGCCGTACGATTTCGCTCGGAGACTCATAGCCGACCACATAGAGATGGTGCTCCAAGGGGGTATCTTTTGTGCCTTGGAAATAAACCAGCTTTGTTGCCTCATTCACCCAGATCTGCACGGAAGACAGAGGACTCGGAGTCAAAAGGTGACAGCCTGCTCTTCCCT